GGCGTCGATGAAGTGTATATAAACATCCTGGAAGAAATCTACAGGGGATCAATTGCTACCATAGTGCTTCACAAAGAAAGCAACAGAATACCAATCAAGAAGGGTGTAGGGCAGGGGGACAGAATCTCCCCAATGCTATTTACCGCGTGCTTACAGAAGGTTTTCAGAAGCCTAGAATGGGAACAGTTAGGAATAAGGGTTAATGGAGAGTACCTTAGTAACCTGCGCTTCGCCGATGACATTGCATTGCTGAGTAACTCAGCGGACGAATTTCAAATCATGATTATAGAGTTAGACAAGGAGAGCAGAAAGGTGGGTCTTAAAATTAATCTGCAAAGAAAACGAAAGTAATGTACAACAACCTCGGAAGAGCGCAGCGCTTAGAGATAGGTAACAGTGCACTTCAAGTTGTAAAAGACTATGTCTACTTAGGGCAGGTAATAACCGCGGAGCCTAACCACGAGATTTGAGTAACTAGAAGAATAAGAATGGGGTGGAGCACATTTGCCAAGCACTCTCAAATTATGACAGGTTGATTGCCGTATCACTCAAGAGGAAGGTATATAACAGCTGTATCTTGCTGGTACTTAGCTACGGAGCAGGAAACCTGGAGACTTACAAAGAGGCTTCAGCTTAAATTAAGGATGGCGCAGCGAGCAGTAGAAATGAAAAATGGTAGGATGTAACCTTAAGAGACAAGAAGAAAGCGTGTGGTATTAGGGAACAAACGGGGGATTAAGGATACTATAGTTGAAATCAAGAAGAGAAAATGGACATGGGCCGGGCATGTAGCGCGTAGACAGGATAACCGCTGGTCATTAAGGGGAACTAACTGGATTCCCAGAGAAGGCAAGCGAGTTAGGGGGAGACAGAAGGTTAGGTGGGCAGATGAGATTAAGAAGTTTGCGGGTATGAATTGGCAGCAACAAGCACAGGACCGGGTTAACTGGCGGAACATGGGAGAGGCCTTTTTCCTGCAGTGGACATAAGCTGATGATGATAATAATGGTGATGATTATGATGATGATAATGAACTAGATTCTTTGTTTTCTGAGACAGCTTGCCAGCGTCCTGTCTAACTACCGTACTTCCACCTTCCACTGCACACTGCGTTATGATACTCGTTAGATCATCATTCATTGCGTCAACGCTAAGGCTCGTTTCATCGATAAAAGTAGTACTTTTTCTGAAGTGAGACTAAGAATTCCTGTATTATATCTTTCAGTGACAGCTCGTTGATTGACTTTTTGCGTATCATGTTTCTGTCGTTCCTTCTTCAAGTCTTGTCGAATTCGAGACCGTACCATTCTATGGTCACTGCATCGTACCTTGCCAAGCACTTCTACATCCTGCACGATGCCTTGGTGTGCACTCAATATAAAGTCTATCTCGTTCTCATTTTCGCCATTAGGGCTCTCCCGTGTCCACTTACGGTTCCCTCGTTTTCGGTAGAAGGTATTCGAAATCCGTAAATTATTGCGTTCTGCGAATTCTACTAGTAGCTCCCCTCTGGCATTTCTAGTACCGATGCCATAATCTCCTACTGCCTGGTCTCCAGCCTGCTTCTTCTCTACCTTTGCATTAAATTCTCCACTGAGTATAGTATACTGTGTTTTTACCTTACTCATTGTCGATTCTAATGTCTTAATAGAAGCTTTCTACTGAAGCATCATCATGCAGCGGATAGACAGGATAACCACTGGTCATTAAGGGTAACTAACTGGCTTCCCGGAGAAGGCAAGCGGGTTAGGAGGAGACAGAAGCTTAGGTGGGAATGAGATTAAGAAGTTTGCGGGTTTAAATTGGCAGCAGCCAGCGCAGGACCGAGTTGACTGGCGGAACATGGGAGAGGTCTTTGTGCTGCAGTGGAGGTAGTCAGGCTGATGATGATGATGAATAAATATGTGGACTTTGGCACTGTAAGGCGTTAATGTAGCAGATCACGTTAATGGGATTATATCACATGAACCTCGTTAACTTCTGCCCCGCCTGCGGTAGGTCTAGTGGCTAACGTACTCAGCTGCTGACCCGCAGGTCGCGGGCTCAAACCCCGGCTGTGGCGGCTGCATTTCCGATGGAGGCGGAAATGTTGTAGGCCCATGTGTTCACATTTGGGATCACGTTAAAGAACCCCAGGTGGTCGAAATTGCCGGAGCCCTCCACTACGGCGTCTCTCATAATCATATGGTGGTTTTGGGACGTTAAACCCCACATATCATATCGTTAAATTCTTTATATCACTCGAGTGCCGGTTTCCTTCTATATTTATTTATTCATGAGAGCGCCGCGGACAAAAAAAAGGTGGGGGGAGGGGGTGCACTTCATTAGCTTCGGTTCATGATGCGCGTGAGTAACGATGTTGACTTTTGTTGATTTTGCCGAGGAGTACACTGCCAGTGAGTCGTCTAGGGAAACCTAGTTCTTGTACTTTGCGTTGGGAACAGATACCTATTAGAAAGAAAACAAAAATGTTTCACGATTTAGAGTACGAGGTACTCAACTAAGGGTGAGCATAAAGCTATCATGTGGCCTCACAGTTCATGAGGCCGTCGCGACCAGCAATAGTGTTTACAAAGGGTGGGGAACGATTTAGAGTACTTCGTACTTTACTAGGTAGAGCATTAAGCCATTCTTCTGGCTTGAAGATGCAGTTTTCTGATAAACTTTTATGTGTGAATACACTTTATAAGCGACCCCAAACCATCCACCGCCGTCGGCGGCGTCCGCAGTCTTCTCTCTATCTTTAAAAGAAAGAGGACTTGGCGGGCCGCAGCGCGACGCTCTACCGAATAAGCCACGGACGCGACGCTGATATCGGTGTCAGTAACACGCCTTATACCCCCTCCCCCTTTGCTCGCTCCTCCGCTCTCCTCGCTCGCTGCAGCTGCGCGCGCACCCCTCTCTCTCGCGCGCCCGCCTTCTCTCTCAGTTTCCCGTCGAGAGCGGGTCGTGCGATGGATGTCCCGGAGGCAACGCTCCATCAACAACGAATGCAGTACAACCGAATGCCAGCACTGCACCCGTCGTTGGAGGTGACGGTACCGCGGTGGTTTTGCCGACGTTGGAAGACAAGGCGGCGCTGCGAAGGGCTCGTGAGACCGAACGTAAGCGGGCGAAGCGTGCAGCGGATGCCGAACTGCGCACTCGCGAGGCCGAGGACAAGCGGGCGAAGCGTGCAGCGGATGGTGAACTGCGCGCTCGCGAGGCCGAGATGAGGCGTCAGCATCGAGCCGCGAACGCGGCCCAAGAAGCGGAACGACAACGCAAGCGTCAGGCGGAGAAGGGCGATGAAGGCCGGCGTCAAGACGCCGCTCGCAATCGTCAACGGCGAGTGGACGTTCCCGAAGCCGTTCGAGCCAGTGAACGTGCCGCGCGGGAGAGGGTGCGAGCCCTGGACTTGGCTCGTCCGGATGCATCGTGAAGTGTAAATAAATAATACTTCGTATATAATGTATCTGTGTACAAATGCTTCATGACAAACAACACTTAAATTCATTAATTACACTTTAATCATCATCATCAGTAATAAAACTCCCAAGCATTTCCCCGAGGGTGAACATGGTTAAGTTCGAATGCACGGGGTGATGCTATGAGGGGGAGTAAAGTTAAAATGCGTTGGCATTCGCCAGTGAGTTAACGTAAACTCCCCCGTGCGATCAAATTGCGATGCCCAGGAATCATTAAACCATAAAGGCACCATGGTGTGATTAATAAATATAATAGTGCGAGTTAATAAATACCCCTCATAGCATCACCCCGTGCCTTCGCACTTAACCATGTTCACCCTCGGCGAAATGCTTGGGAATTTTCCAGTAGTGTGTTCCGAACGAATGTGTAACGATTTAGAGCACAAGGTACTCTACTATGGGAGAGCTTAAAGCCGTCCCGTGTGTTTAGAAAAAATGTTAAACGATTTCGAGTACTCGGTACTCAACTATGGGAGAGCACTGAGCCGTCCCGTCATACTGTTAACTGTCCATGGGGGGGGGGGGGGGGATTAGAAAACGGGGGTAACAATTTAGAGTACAGGGTACTCTACTATGGGAGAGCTGAAAACCGTCCCTGGCGCGCAACGAGTCTTGAGGTCGAAGTTCTGCGGCTGCTTCGTGACACGCGCTGAATATAGACTCATCACTTAGTCGCAGCAAACCATGTGAAAAGGCCACGTTAACCTTGTAATTGACCTTACGTTAACTATAACAATAAATTAAGTAAGTAACAATTGTTTTTATACCGCGCTACCGGATCACGCCTCCTGCAAAACTCTTAGTTGAAATGTACGTTTCTGAACGCTCCCACATGGCAAACGTATTCTTATCTAGCATAGCAGTGGCTGCGTTGCTCGGCGATTTGAGGCCGCGCCGATTTGGCGCCAATTTGAAGGTGCGCGTTTGAGCATCCGTTCCGAGTGGTCGGGTGGTGATTGACCACCTGCCGGTTTATGATGACGGTAATTTTCTATCTATGACACATGGCAATTACATCGACCACCCCAGCAGCTTTGCTGTGATAGACATTTGTCACGTGCCACTCATCGCTAGTTTCTTTCTCTGACATTGCAAGCGATCACACGGATTGTTTCAATATACCTACTATATATATATATATATATATATATATATATATATATATATATATATATATATATATATATATATATATATATATATATATATATATATATATATATATCCTTGCCTCTCCCCCTTCCTACTACTCAGCCTCTCCCTCTCCACACTACAACCCTTTCTCTACCGGGCTCAACACGTTACACTAGACTTCCCTTTCGTCCACTTTCTTTTGATCTCTCGTCAAGCTTCACATCTCGCAGCTCGGCCACCAAGTGCGGGCGATGGATAATCGGTGATTTGAACGTCTTCGCAATTAAAGCCTTATCACAGAAACAAGGCGCACATGCTTGTTAATAAGTCACTCATCACTCGCAACACTGTCTCATAGTGTTGCGAGTGATATGTTCTATAGTATAGTGGCCGACTTACTGAGTCCTACTTTGAGGTAGCAGTTCTGCGTGTCCATCGGGTACTTTTGGAGTTCCATCAGGCAGTCCACTTGAAACAAGTACCTACATGGAAGGAATTAGAGAGCAGTTGATTGATTTATTCATTGATCTATTAACTGCACAGAGTCTACAACACCGAAATGTCCACACGAGGCAACGGAAGCCGTCGCGAGTGCTTCCGGTTAGGCAATATTCCTTCACAAATCCCTGAATAGATTGACGATTGCACACGTGTTATTACGCAGTGTCTAAAAAAGTGGCACAACATCGCAAGCGAGATGTATTTAGGAATGAAAATTTACTGGTCGCCATGGCAACCGGTAAACAGGGATCCGGCTCATCGCGCATACAACTCAGTTATTGAACGTTAGGACATTTTTTTTTAACTCTGGCATCAAATGGAAGAAGCGGTATTGCCTCATTTTGATTGTTCGTAGGGATGAGCTTAAAAATGGCGCGTCGAAACTTTCTAAATTTAGTGACACTGAAAAATAATGCTCTGTACGGAAATTTTGCCCGACGTTGCGTAAGACGACGAGCAAGGTTTTATAAAAGAACAGAGTCATGCCAATATCGTGCTTCCCGCAAAAAAAGAGGAAGAAACAGACATGCTGACATTTGCCATCGAAGACAATTTCCATTTCTCACATGGCACGCCTGTACTTGGAAGCTCGTGGTGTGGCTCTGTTTCGAAAAACGGGATGTCGTGAGTGGTTTCGGTGAAAGGCGCGGGTCCATACACTTGAATTTCATGTTTGATTGTGTGTGTAAAGGGTACTATATATACTGCCACGAGTTTTGGAAACTTTCATATTGTTCCTGTACAAAATTCTCGAGAACCTTTAAAGCATTCGCGTAACATGACTCGAAGGCTGAGGTCAGCTTTTTTTTTTTCTTTTCGTCACAGTCGACGTAGCGTACTGATCCTTTCCACCACAATGCGAAAGCTCTATGTACAGGGCTGGTAAAAAGTGCCGCCATATCCACGAAGTGAATGACGATGAGTGGGCTAAGCTCCGGAGGTAAACCTAGCAAACCATGAATCCTCCGTACATTTTGCCCACTCGATTTTATTACAACGCTTCCCTTAGCGTACGTCGCCGCACTAAATCGAACGATTGCCTTCCACCAATGACACGCGCCATATGTGACATCATTCCTATTTTATAACATCTCGCATCTTTCGTTATAAACTACAACTTCCGCCGTCTAGTTCATAACATCTTGCATCTTTTAATCATCGGCTACAAGTACCGCCATCTAGTGAGCACTGCAAGAACTGAACGAGAGGTGGCTACATACAGGGGACGCACAGCCCACGCCTTGGGGAGCTTCGCCCCTAAATGTTTCCAGGCCACTACCCTATGTATTTCTATGGCAGCTGGGGTGGGAAATATTAACTCCCCCTGTATACCTAACGTGATTTCGCACTGCATGCCTCGAGGATCGGATTGATTGCAAGCTTTCTGTGCCTCGCCTTGCCGGAATTTCTGCTAAACGAGATCGTTAGTGCTACCGCGTTAAAGAGCTCGTTTCGCGTAAACTTCGGCGTCCGTGTCTTTTTTTTTTTTGCGAGTGAAAACGCAGTGCCACAAATGAGCGAAAGTTTGAGGTGGATGCCAATAAACCCAGGAGGGGGATGGCCGTTTGCACTTTGGCGTTCCTGGTGGCAGAGTTGAGAGATCCGCCAATGAGCGAATGCAGGCTAGTGATTGGAAAGGTGATATTTAGGTGTGTGTGAGTGTTGCTGACTCCAAATAAATTTCGACTACTTGCATTAAACCAACGCCTCCTAGAAAAAACTACGCCTGGAACGTCGCTCTCTTTTCAATTGGGAGCCTCCTGCCAGCACGCAATCTCGAAGGCCATGATTCCTGCGCCTTGTGGTGCGACCGGCCGCCGCGTGAGACCACTCGCGTTCGTAACGCTCAGTCACGTGACATTACCGTACCGCTCTGCCACATGACATGACAGCTGCTCGGAGGCAACTCTGAGCGCATTGCTGCGTTCGAAGGGGGCGGCCGTCAGAGACGCTCGCCTTCGTACCGAAGGAGGAGGGTGAAATCAGAGGGTAGGGCAGTGTGTTCGCGGCTCACGTTCCAGGCATAATTTTTTTTAGGAGGCGTTGATTCAACAGGCACCCGAATCCAAGCACAGAGCTATACTTTGCTTTAGCCCCCATCGAAATGTGGCCTCCGTGGCCGGGAATCGTAGCCGCTTCCTCGAGCTAACGTCCCGCGGCGAGCAGAAACTGGAAACGCGTGTCGCACGCGAGAACGATGTGTGTGTTCGTGTGTGCGCGTGCGTGCGTGCAAATATGGCTATCGCATTCAACTCTTAAAGGGGAAGCTTAAGGGTCCCCAATCTTTTTTTCCATGGCCTCCTGGATCAGTCCTCTTTTTACTAAGCGACAAATTCATGTGACGAAGTCGTCCCGCCGCGGTTGTCTATAGTGGCTAAGGTACTCGGCCGCTGACCCGCAGGTGGCGGAATGAAATCCCGGCTGTAGCTGCTGCATTTTCGACGGAGACGAAAACGCTGTTGGCCCGTGTGCTCAGATTTGGGTGCACGTTAAAGAACCCCAGGTGGTTGAAATTTCCGGAGCCCCCCACTACGGCGTATCTCATAATCATATGGTGGTTTTGGGACGTTAAACCCCACATCAGTCAAATCGATCATGTGACGAAGTCGTCATGTTACATACGTCCCGTTATGTCACGTCATATTGACGTCACGTATTTCGGTTACCTGTGGCCTAATGATGACGTCAGCGCATGATGATAATTTTATTATCATTTTTTACTTCTTCTGAGAGGTCATTTTTCGGGTTTGATGAGGTATCTGAGGCTCTCATTCTAATTTCATCATAAAAAAGACAGAAAAGCAGGCTCCTTTCGAGCTTTTTTCTGATCCTTGAATACCTGGTTATTTTCCTAAATGCGTATTCAGTTCAGATAAAACTTATTTCCAAAAAAATATTTTTTTGTACTGTGAATCATTGTGCTGCTGGACATTGTAAGGGATCAGGACCTTGTCAAGCTGCAGTATTACAGCTTTTTCAAATAAAACAGAAGTTATTGATTGATCGATCGATCAATTAAATTATTGATTGATCAATCAATCGATCGATTTATAAATTGATTGATTGATTGATAGAAAGATTGATTGATTGAGTGATTGATTCGAGTCACTCGCCTCGACGACCGGTACAGGTGTCCGGTGTCTAGCACCTTGACGAACGTGTTGGGCACCGAGTGTTCGAACAGGTAGCCATTCTTGGAGTTCACGAAGATCAGGTCGGGCTTCCACAGGGCCGCCCGCACTTCGTCGGGCAGCACTCGCGAGGCGTGCCTGCGTGGTCCGTCGGCGCTGCTGTTGGCCGACGAGGCGATGTCGTCCAGGAAGCGGCTCAGGTTCAGTCTGTCGTCGCGCCACAGGTCCACCACGAACATGTGGATGCGGAACGCCTGCGAGAAGATGCCCATGGTCCTATTACTTTGGAGTCCGTCGAATGAGGGGTTCATAGAATAATATCTGGGGTCTTACGTCTCCAAACAACGATATGATTGTAAATGACATCGCAGTAAAGCGCTCCTGGAATTCTGACCATCTGGCGTTCTTGAGCGTGCACCGACGTCGCACAATACACGGGCCTGTATACCATTAAGTCTCCATTGCGTCTCCTAGATTTACAATGACGAAGCGGAACACAGAGTCCGGGCAAGGAGCAACGGACTCAATCATTGGTATAACTCATACGTATACCAGATAGTGCTGCGGGCGGAGGATGTTGTCTTTGTTATTTCATGTCTTATGCGGCAGCCTGCACTGATGGTATACTCGCACCATTCTTACTCGATATGCGTTGAACACCATTGACGAACTTTCCGGTGTGCCTTGAGGAGACTGAGTGATCGTCCCTTCACGTGGATAAAGATCTCTGGTACATGGTCTCGCAGTACATCAACGAAGAAAGCCACACGAGCCCTTTTACTATTGAAGGCGACATCGCTTTGCGACCACCTGTGAAACCCTGGTGTGGTGTGCAATGTCCATCTCCTTCTCTCTCTTTTACTCCGCTGTTCCCCTCTCCCTGAGTGTAGGGTTGCAAACGGGACGTAGTCTGGTTAACCTCCCTACCTTTCTTGTATTCCTTTTGTCTCTCTGCTCCCGCAATCATTGCAATCCTTCTTTGAGTCAACGCATATCTGAGGTCTTTCATAGCTTCACGTAGTGCCTGCCGCGGTATAACAGCTGTTGCGGTGTTCAGCAGCTGACCCGATGGTGACGGATTCGATCCCGACCGCGCCGGTCACATTTCAATAAAGGCGAAATGCCAGAGGTTCATGTACTGTGCGTTGTCAGTGCCCGTTAAAAAACTCCAGATGGTTGAAATTTCCGGAGCCCTCCGCTATACAGCTTACATATTATATCAGCTTCACGTAACTGCCTAAGTGGCCAGAATCACCTTTAGGCATGGTGGCCCTTCTAGAAGTCGGTCCGCCCAGGCGGCGCTTCGAAAAACGCCGCAAACAGCGCCCTCATAGCCGCACCGGCCATAACTGGGTAGTGCAAAGAGAGCCGTCTGCAAGAGAACGTGCATAGGCCCCCCTCTTTCGTTGATGTTGAGGCGCGGTTTCCTGAGATTCGTGGACTTGGCATGGTTCTCCCGTCAATCCCACCTCGTTTTAGTTAGAAAAGTAGGAGGCACATAAAAGTGAACTGCGGATACATTGTCAAAGATGTTTCAGTTATTTCGGCGTGCTGCATTTAGGTGCAAGCGAGCATCGCGTGGGATTTAGTTCGGGGTAAGCACTCCGACGTGCATTTAGTAATGCCTAAATGCCGCATTAACTTTGGGAATACACGTGATGATAAAGCGATGAAGTGCATGCACGAGCAATCCATCTTGATAAGTGGTACGATGCTCGCTTTGTAGGAACGGACGTCCCAGGTGATTTCCGCCTTTGCAGTTGCATTCTCTATCCATATCGCGCTTCCTGTGTGATGTACTGTTTTATTACGCATCCTAGAATGTTTCTTTGACGGATGTCTTCCGTTTGCATTTACTGCAAATGGGGATACATGCGTGTCCACTTTCTCGATGCACAACGAAAGGCAATACCGAGGCACCCGAGATAACTCTGGTAATCGCGGAGACCAACGGCAAGACGAACCTGATTGTTGTCACGACCAACATTTTACAATTGACCTATATAACGTACTTGTTCGCATTTTTCTAGTTCAAGCCGGAACTTAAAAGCTTCAAAGCCTACGTTCGTGATTCTGTGTGGTGGCAACCATATCAAATTATCGCTGGTCGTGACGTGTGCGATGTTGATTGTGCGCGTATCAGTGTACTGTTGCATGGTACGCACTGCGGTGAGAAGCTCTGGTAAAATTCACGATCAACGTTACCACGGTTCTCCGTAAAGGCTACTCAAAACAACGGGAGACCTACATGACCACACTTTCGCATGCGACTGGCTGTAGAGAACGCGAGTAATTCGCTTATCCAACACATTCGCACCGGGCCGTATCCAGAGCTCTCGCTTTTCTGCTTCGTCAGAGCTACGGCAATCAGTAAACCTGGATTACTTTGCGTCCGTGCCAATTGACAATGCAACAGTAGCGTCGACTGGGGTCTTTCATCGTAGAGCGCGCAACTGTTGCGTCTGCTCTTGTTTTCGCCGTCTTTCTGACAAGTGATCTATCAAGCACTTCATGGCGGTTCGGTGACGCGTCCTACTAGCGGATAGAACGTCGTAGCTCTTTTTGTAAGTGTTCAATGCGTAAGCACACCTAATATTTAGCTGAATCGTTGTTTCGCACGCTGTAGTTGCACCTGGTTGCGCAGCAAACTGCAAGGGAGTTGGGCTTCGCACTACCCAAAACTGCGCCGCCGACAGGTGGCGCTACATGTCTGAAAAACTCCAGAGTCTGACGTCTATATCGCGGCGACAAGGGTGGCTTCTTGTCTAGGCATTTCTTGGGCGGCCTTCGCGGACGTTTTATACATGTGGGCGTACAGTGGCGACAAGACCATTTACAAGTCAGATTTTTAGGTGCTGCAAATTTACATTTCGTAGAGCCTAAAAATAACTCGAGCGCTGTCATCACTTCGCCAAATCAAGTTTCAAAACTATACTAAAAATACTACACTTGCAGGAGAGCTAACATTTACCTATAATTGTCTTGGGTCCACCTCTTGTGGCACAATCTAGTAGCTGAGTCTAAATACTTTCCTTCGAGATTGCGCCATTGGCATGCCTTCTCATGTCTACGTCATTGTTGAATTATTTTGAGAACAGTTGCACAAGTAATAACAAAAAAGAAGAAAACAAACCTTCGAATGGCTTTTCGAATGAATATACGTACCACATGAAAAGCTCGATGTTACGTCACACTTACCATGTTCTCTTCACTGATATCATCGATATCCATAACTTGGAAGGACACATAGATTTGTACTGGCCCGCCTGAGAAAAACGGAGAGACACCACATCATCCTAGTTACATCTGTTGCTTGCCCGATAGTCCCCAATTATTGATCTTCACCTTAAGACAGTGATGAATTAGAAATCATTTATTGCAGCCGTTTAAGTTATATGTCACCCACCGCGATAGTTCAGCATCTGTTACTTTACCGCTGACCAGTAGGTCGCGGGGTCGAATCCCGGCCGTGGCGGCCGCATCTCTGTAATAGTGAAATGCAAGATGCCCGTGTGCGTCGTCCAGAGACCCAGGCGGTGAAACTCCCTAGAGCCCACCCACTACAGTGCCTCTTATAATCATATGTCGTCGTTTTGTCACCTAAAGACGCGACAGGTATTATTACAAGTAAAGTTATGCCGCCAGTTAACTGGCACAACAGTCACTTCTGTTTTCGTCACGCCCAACGCAATTTAAAGGGCCTGCTCGCATTTTTAAGCAAGGCAGGTTTAGATTCCCGTCTTTAAAGCATCTGCTAATTTAGAGACTTTTGTGCGTGCACTGCACCGAACGAGACATTGTGTGCAGTGACTCATTGTGCTATACCACAATCACCCCTCATCCTACCCTCGTCTTTCTTTTCCTTTTCCCCTTACCCCCGTGAGGAGTAGCAGGCCAGTAATCCACTTTCAAGGCCAACCTCTCTTCTTTCTTCTCATTAAACACCTCCTTCTTCTCCTGTTTTCGTCCTTTTTTTTTATTCAGCGCGATAGTGTTGAATCTGTGTTCTGTGTACCATACATTTTGTTGCTTAGTTCAGTTTGTTAGCTCAATAGTATCGAGAATTAATAATAATAATAATAATAATAATAATAAGACGAAGGAGGAGGAGGAGGAGAGGGAGAAGAAGAAGAGGAGAAGAAGGGAAAAGGGAAGAAGAAGAAAGCCGTGAGAGAATACATGTCAAAATTGTAGTACAATTATGGGGCACGCCGCTGTAGAGGCCTTCGGAAATTTCGACCATCTGTTGTTACCCAGCGTGCACTGGCGTTGCACAGGACACGGACCTCTATAGCATTTCATCTCAGTCGGCGTGCCACAGCCACGACCAGAATCGAACCTACGTCCTTCGCGCCAGTATCGTAACCGGCTACGCCACCGCGGCTGGCGATTTGCGAGCTTGGTAGCCATTGTAAAACCCATGGGAGAAAAAACAGGGAAATTCCTCCTTTTGGTAAACAAAGGTGACGTGACGAAGTTAGAAAATTGGCGCGACGCGCGCGCTGGCTGAAGACAGTTGGCGCCATCGCAAACGACAGGCGCACAACGCTTCTGTCGCGAGTAGTTTTCGAATGCAGTCTGTTAGGGAAGAAAAAGGAGTTCCGCTATTTCCATTTTATCTACCTAACCAAATGGCCTAGTTTTCCGTTCTGATTATAGCCACTATATGAGAACCAAGACCTGCTGCGAATGAAGAATAGAAGAAACCTATATCGATTTCCGCTCGGGATTTCTTCCAGTGCTCTTGCAACCGTAAGGACGACGCCTGCTGCACGCAAACGGCGTGCAGTTGAAGAAGCTCTACTAAGAAAAAAAATAAAAAAAAATATAAATGTAGGCTAGGCTGATGTGCGAAAGCACACCTGCCATATACGTTGTGTTGGCGATCGAATCAGTGTTGCTAGCTGAAGGCCTAAATGACTTGGTGACATGAAAGGCCCTCTTCAGAAGACGAATCCGTAGGTCCCTTTCTGGGAAAAGCGTCGTCAAGATGTCATGTGTTGCGTGTGAGTCCGCAGTAGTTTAGAGTGTGCTCGCTCGTTAAACATACTTGCTAATCAGCCCATATGTCCTCCCTAGTAGGGCCTTTACACCCAATTTTAGGTTGCCGTTGGTGTTGTGTGGGTTAATCCTCGCACATATACACAAATATGCTCATGAAATTTAAGCGCATTTGGTCGAGCATTTCGTTTAAAATTGAATATTTTCAAAAATACGTGAGGGGCATGGGAGTCGGGCAACGCTGGGCCAATGGCGAGCCATGACCTATTGAGGAGGTGCCCACGCGAGCGTTTGCATTCCGGCGAACAATATTGTTCCGTGGTGATAGATAGATAGATAGATAGATAGATAGATAGACAGACAGACAGATAGATAGATAGATAGATAGATAGATAGATAGATAGATAGATAGATAGATAGATAGATAGATAGATAGATAGATAGATAGATAGATAGATAGATAGATAGATAGATAGATAGATAGATAGATAGATAGATAGATAGATAGATAGATAGATAGATAGATAGATAGATAGATAGATAGATAGATAGATAGATAGATAGATAGATAGATAGATAGATAGAGTGGAATTTAACGTCCCGAAACCACGATATGATTATAAGAGACGCCGTAGTGGAGGGCTCCGGAAATTTCGACCATTAGGTGTTCCGTGGTGAGCCGTGCTTGAAATGGAAATATCTCAGCTGTCTTCCTGTTGACGCAGAAATTAAACGATTCGCAACGTCTGAAACTCTGGTAGAAGAAGGCTCCGTGCCTTGCTGCAGTTGACGCCACAGGCGCCATGGCCACATGGCGGTCACCGGTTGTGGGTGGGATTCAGAGCCAGCGACTTAGATGCCTTGTTTTTCACTGGGATAGTATATTTATGGCCCACTTTTTTATTTGTAGAGGTATAATAGACCCTCTACTTCCTAGTTTTCGCTGAAAGCCACAAAATGTTGTGTGACCGTCTGATGGCACCTTTATGTGGCACTAAAACATGACGGCCCGTCATTGTACGCGGTCTTATTTATTAAGAAGCTGTACCATAACACGTCGGCGCTTTGAATGAAAAAAAAAATCGCGGCATATCCACGAAATGAATGATGATGAGTGGGGCGAAGTGGACGGACGCACGAACGGACGCACGGACGGACTTATGAACGCTTCGCCCCCACTTATCATCAGTCACTTCATGCAAATGCTTTGACACACATTTGTTGACATGCAATGCAATTAAACTAGCTACTACGACGACTACGACGACACGGGACATGCGACCCACGGCGTAAGGAGCTTTGCCCCTAAAACGGCTGTGTTGTAGTGCTGAGTAGCCCCAGGAGGGGTTCAATGCATTCGTTGTCTGTGTACACGCACGTATGAAAACCAACGCACGAACTAGAAACCCCCGTAAGATAAAGGTGGGCTGAACACCAACTTCCTGCCCAAAAACGTTTCTAGCGACGCCAGTTTTGTAGGCTTGAGGTAAGAAGATGCCTGTGAACAGGAAATACCTGTTGCGGATGTCGGTGCTTCGGAACCATGGTAGTTGGGTGGCACCACTTCGTTCAGGATGGGATTGGATCGGCACCTGGCGGAAAAGACGACGCAGCGAATCGGAAACGATAGAAAGGCAGTAAAACAACGGCGTCTCAAAGACGTTTTTAATTCTTTCTCCCCTGTAGACGCCCAACCTGTCACATAGGGAAGTTTGTCTTAGTCGCCGAGTACGACGTGCTCGGAATTTAAAGATAATCCGAAACTAGTTTGAAACCGGGGGTGTTATTCTAGACGCTCAAGTTCCGCCATCTTGTCAAATTTCGAAATGACGTCTTATTAGGCCAATCAAAGAGGCCGTAGCAGCGTATTGAGCCAGTCAGAGTCGACTGATGGCACAATTGTACAGCATGACGGAATCGACATTGTCCGAAATAGTATATCAGCAGATGCAAGACTCGCCATTATCTGTCTATCATTTGCTAGTTTCTTTCGTCCTGAGCTGCTTTAAATTCCAAGTCTAACCTGTCTTAACTCACTGTGGTTCAACTCGCAATTGACTCTATCCACGTTTCTTTCTTATTGTCTCTTTTTCATTGGATTCCAGGCATCACTCTTATTATCGCATGCAGGCATTCTAATAACCGCAGAAAACCAACATGTCAGAGTAGACATGGTAACCTCGACAAATATTGTTTCCTATGGAAACGTGAACCTATCTTCTTTAGTTGTGCTTCATGACGTTAATCTTCTTACTGAGAGCAGGTTTTATCAGAACGTGGATCTATAGGACACCAGCAGGAATCTTCGGGTCGACAGAGATGTCATCCGTGCGTCGCGGTACGGGTGACAGATAACTACAGGACACGGAAGCGATATAGGCACTGCGCCTTCGAAACGAACGTGCGTTCTCTAATATCTAATGAACAAGTTCTGCACCTTACGTGTACACGTCTTGTACGGACGTACAGGGTTGGTCAAAAGTTTCTAAGCCTCACTGCCATACCACTACGAGATATAGAGGATCGCAAACTTTTGAACAATTAGGGAACTCCGGGCAATCAATGTACAATGTACATTTTGTACAATGTACAAAAGAGGGAACGTCGTATATCAGGCGTCCGGCAAATGTGCGTTCACTGTCATTGAATAAGATTGTCCATGTGGGCCTTCAGTGGAATGTTCATTCTGTAATTTTCAACGGAAGCGCCCATACCCACGAAGCCGTGCATTAACGTACATTTCACGGGGACATAGGTGCTCATAAAACGTTATCTATCGGGCGCTTTTTATCGCACGTTAGTGGATATACATCCTTGTTGGGACGACCAGTCAGGCCGTCCCAACAAGGATGTATATCCACAATATATAGGATGTATATCCACAATATACAGGATGTATATCCACAATATCGGCACAATATGGAAGAAGGGAACTTACGTCAATCTCTGACATTTCTGCAAATATTAGGTGACAGTCTCCTCATATTGTACGTCCAAAATGGACCTTAAAGGTGTACTTAATTAGAAAAACAACGACTTCGCTTATATTCACAAACTGCACTCAGAGAACTCTAAGTCCCACACGTTTGACTATCGTAAGTTTATTCTCAGTGGAGAAAAATCGTGCTTGAAGTTTCATTTTTAGGTTTCGCGCCTAAATCTTGCCACGAGACGTCGAAACATTCTAGAATGCATTTTACGTACTTTCGCGACATTTTCTTTGATGTAATTTTCTTGAACTTCGTATGATAGGGCCTACAGTGCCCACAGATGACAATAAACTTCAATTTTATTGATTATAAGATACGTAGGAACCAGTAGGCGCCTCCGAAATGTATGACGTCACGGTGTTTTGGGCGGGAATTTCAAGGTGGCGTCCGCATTCCTTCTTTCTTTTCACCCGTTCACTCCCTTACCAACCGTCATGTCATGGTGAGAGTGGTGTTATCGAGAATTCCGATTCATCAATTTACTAATACGCGAAAGATTGTTTTGCTCTTTAGTGCACCTTAATGTTTTTTGAAGTTCGGAAGTCCTACATCACGCGTGTGGTAGAGAGGTCAAGTTCAATTGTTTAACTCTAAGGATGTGTTTTTTAGTTATTTTTTTTGTGTCTGAGTTGATTTCTTCTTCTAAACATTCACACCCTCTCCTTGTATCCAGTCTTGTATACCCCCACCCCCTATAACGCCCTATTTAGGCTCTTAGTGTACCCGTATAAATAAAAATGAATAAATAAACAAGATACCGCCTTAATACTCACGGGGTTTCGTGAACAGCTGCGCAGACGTTGTCATACGCAGACGCCGCCGGGAACAGGCACGCCAGCAGGGATACCAGGAGAGGGACGACGAGGCACGACGGGAGGGACGGGAAAGGAGCGGAACACAAGATGGCGTCCGGCGACCGGATGGCGGCGCGGCGTTGGCGTTCGGGGCGTGCCCGCGACGGGCGAATTTGGGGCGTCACGTGACGCTCCAGGGCGGTACGCGCTTCGGCAGCGTGCGGCGCAACGTCATGCCGGCCGCCTGCTTCAGCACGTCGCAAGTCTTCGTCGTTGCCGCCAAGTGGTTCCCCCACGCCTCGTCAACGTCTCGTCCGGCCCTTCTCGTGTACGTGGTCCTCAGTCCCGCGGGGCACTTGAGGTCGCTTCTCTTCTACCGTGTACTGGTCAACCGATGTTGACGTATCTGCGTGGAGGGAGGACACTAGCGAATCAGGGGCAGATTAAGGGAGCTTCGCAAACAGCGTCGGCACTCCGCTAACCGCAACATGCTCTGCGTACACAGCAATACCCCTTGTAAATTTCGAACATGCGCACGGGAAACATGGCCGCGCCTCGAAAATTGGTTTCCATGACGCATGCGCAATTCACCTCCATCCTGGTATTCTGGTGTACGCAAAACATTTGCGTAGAGTGGTGTGACGGGCAGACTAAAATGCTATCACGTGCTCTATTTTCTGTCATGTTCTGACATTGTCTGATCATTACCAGATTTATTTTTGCAAAAATAATCGATTTTCTGTTCAATGAGACCTCCCTTGTACTTTTTTTTACTGATTGTTGCTCCGAGCATGGTGCATCACTCCCACACTGGCGTTTCACCTGCACTTCTGATACTTTTGTGGGGTTTAACGTCCCAAAACCACCATAATATTATGAGAGATGCCGTACTGGAGGGCTCCGGAAATTTCGACCACTTGGTGTTCTTTAACGTGCTCCCAAACCTGAGCGCACGGGCCTACAACATTTCCACCTCCATCTATATTGCAGCCCCCACAGCCGGGATTTTATCCCGTGACCTGCGGGTCAGCAGCCGAGTACATTAGTGTTACAAGCTGCCACTCTAGCGTCGCCAGCGCGAAGTCAGCGATGGGAATGACAGCAGGTTAGTTCGTTCCGTACGCAAGCAGAGACAGTGAAGAGATCAGAGACGTGAAAAAATAAAACAAACTTTACTCTAGTGATATTGCAGCACACGGGATCTAATACAACACTTCAATACAACTAACAAAATACATCAACACTTGATACAACTAAAAATATATAAAACCAAAACAATAAACCAGCTTACGAGAGAGAACTATTACAAACTACACAAACTAACAAGAATAGAACGACGGAGGAGAAAGTTCGAAGATATAAACAGGTTAAGGCATACGTGTGATGACCGGCAGCGTTGCGTCCCCGACAATCGGATGCGAGAAGTCGAAGAGAGTTCTGGCACGACTGCGATGTCGGCGGTGTTGCAACGCTGGTGGCTCCGGGAGTCTAGTGCTTGCAGGTGACTTCAGGCAGGTTGAGCTAACTCGAGGCGAAGTCCCGAAGTCTACGTTGCAGACGTTAATATCACGTCACAACTAGACGAACGGCTAAGTTTAGGTGTCCAGCCTATACAGAGCCACACTAAAAACTTCTAGAAGAGATGCTTGTTGATTTATTTATTTATTTATTTCAAATACCCTCAGGGTACAAACGTACATTGAAGAGGGGAGGGGCAAAGAAAGTTAACACGTAATAATAACTTGGTTATAGTTTTAAAAATACAGAAATGAATTATCACGATGACACTTTAAACAAATATCAGTTACAAGAACAAAGGCCAATGAACCAAAATGAATAACACAGGAATCAAAACACTGGACTGTCCTGGAAGAATTACAAGATTTTATCATTGGATGCACTGCCAAAAGAGATATAATGAAAAAAAAAAAAAAAAAAACATAATGTACAAAAAGTAGCCACTCGCAAAACTAGAATACGAGAAGCATAGCAACAAAAGGGAAACATATAAAAAAAGAAAAAAATTAAAGGTATGAAACAAACACTGAACGATGTTAACTCGAAATGAAACTTCGAAGTGCGATTTTGAAATTATTGGTGTTAGTTATGCTTGTGAGTGATGCAGGCAGATTGTTCCAGTCTCTGGTCGTTGTGGGGAGAAATGAGTGTGAAAAGCCGACGGTGTTGCTGTGTGGAATGTTTACCTTTTGGCGATGGTCGATGCGGGATGAAATGTACGGCGGTGGCTGAAGAAGCATAGAATGTAAATATGAATTGTGGTAGTAGATTTTATGGAAAAGATAGAGTCGAGATAGTTTTCGGCGATGTGATAGCAATGGAAGGTGTAGAATGTCTTTCATGTTAGTAACACTCGCAGTTCTTTGGTAATTGTTTAAAATGAAACGGACTGAGCGATTTTGTATTTTTTCTAGTAATTTTATGTGGTTCTGATATCCGGTGTCCCATACTGACGATGCATACTCAAGCTTCGGACGAATGAAAGTTGTGTACAGTAGTAGTTTTAATGAAGATGGCGCTTGAGGAAACTTCCGGCGAAAATATCCTAATGTGCTAGTGGCCTTGGTGGCTATGTAATCAATATGAGTTTTCCATGAAAGGTTATTGGTAATATGGACACCCAAGTATTTGTACGATGTTACGCATTCTAGTGGGATGTTATTAAGTGTGTAAGTAGGGGAAGTCACTTCAGCACTGGAAATCCTCATACTTTTGCATTTTCTAACGTTTAATTCCATACGCCATAATTGACACCATTTAGTTATGTTATTAAGATCTTCCTGAATTAGTGAAATGTCTGCGGCATCCGTCACCTTTCTATACAAGACGCAGTCATCTGCAAACAGGCATATTTTCGAAGAGACATTAGTAGGCAAATCATTAATATAGATTAGGAATAATAAGGGACCAAGCACAGACCCTTGCGGGACACCAGAATCAACAGGAATCAATGAGGAGTTAACGTCGTTAGCGGCTACAAACTGAACACGTGATGTTAGAAAGGCGCGAATCCAATTAATTACAGCTGTGTCGATGTTTAGAACGCTTAGTTTATGAAGTAGCAGTGCATGGTTCACTTTGTCGAATGCTTTAGAGAAGTCGAGAAATATACAATCTGTTAAAAAACCGCCATCTAGATTAGAGTGGAGAAAATGAGTGAAGGCTATGAGCTGAGTGTCACAGGAAAAGTTTTTGCGAAATCCATGCTGCGAAGCTGTGAAGAAGTTGTTATGTTCGAGAAAATTAACCAGATGTGTGTAAATTATATGCTCCATAACTTTGCAAGGCACTGATGTAAGAGAAATCGGTCTATAATTTTGTGGGTCATGGGATGGTCCTGATTTGTGAATAGGGATGACTCTGCCAGTTTTCCAGTCAAACGGTAAGGTACCCGAGTTGTAAGATTGCGAGTAAATATGTTCTAGTATGATTGAGCAATATTCGGCAGTGTTTTTTAAAAAGATTGCATTGATTTCGTCTACCCCGCATGATGCTTTAGATTTTAGTTTCTGAATGATGCTTTTGATACCAGTGGAGTTGAAGATTATGGGATGCATTGAGTGGTATTGAGTAGGATGGATCTCAGGCATCGGACCGGGAAGGTTAGGTGATGAGAATGACGAAGCGAAAGTTTCATTGAGCAGAGTAGAACACATATGCTCCGGTACAGGGCCCCCAGAACTTGTCAGCAGTGATATACCATTTTTATGAGCATTTCCCCGGATAATCTCCCAAAAGCGTTTTGGGTTAGCCTGTATTAAGTTTGGAAGCGTGGATTTAAGGAAGGAGACTTTGGCTGATTTTAGTGCTATGAGATATGAGCTTGCAGCGTTTTTGTATGTTAGCCAATGAGACGGTGTTGAGTGAAGTTTAGCTGTGCGGAATAAACGTTTTTTCTTATTGGATAATCGATTCAAATATGTACTATACCATGGTGATTTATTGTTAGCGTAAACAGTCCGAAGGGGGACATATTTGGTTATTAGCTCACCGATTTTATTTTTTAAAATGAACCAGTTAGTTTCGACGGAGCGTTCTAGATAACTAGGTAAAAAAGTGGCCAGAAACAGGCACAGTTCATTGTTGATGGCCTCATAATTAGCTTTTTTATAATTTCGAATCTTTTTCCGCTGTCGCTTTATCTTTTGATGAGGTGTTGTAATCGTGAAGAGCAAGATGTCGTGATCGCTCAGCCCTGGCATGTGTGTTACTGTAGAAACTTTATCAGTTGATGTCGTTAGAATCAGATCAAGGAGTGATGATTTGTTTTTTGTTACACGTGTTGGAAGTTTGACTATCTGGGATAAGCCGAAGTCAGAGCAAACTGAAACGAACCGATTGGCTTCAGCCGTTGAGGGGTTAGAAAAAGGGATCGAATGAGACCAGATGATGTCAGGAAAATTAAAATCACCCAAGAGTATAATTTGAACTCCCGGGAAACGCATGGTAACCGCATTTAAACTGTCGTGAATGTCATCACAAAAAGATGAGTCACTTGATGGGGATCTGTAGCAGACACCTAATAATATTTTCTTAAAACTAATTGTTAGGCAACACCAAATAAGCTCTAAATTCGAGTTGATTGGCACAAGAGAACAATTTATGGATTCTTTAACAGCGAGCAAGACGCCACCACCAATCCTACCAGTTCTGTCACTTCGGTAAACAGTATAACGGTTTGCACACTCAAAGAGTTCGGGGTTTGTTATTTTGCTACTTAGCCAGGTTTCTGTCAGAGCAATAATGTCGGCGTTACAGTCATCAATTATACCACAGAATTCATCTTTCTTGGGAAAATAACTACGAATGTTGGTAAAAAGGACTGAACACTTGCACTCGTTTATGGCTCCTCCCCTCAGATGTCCCTAACTCGGCGGTAACCTACGACCTGAGCGAAGAGTTCTGCTACGTTCATGCTCGTGTGTGGGTTTTTTTCTGTGTATTTCGAAAATGCAGTTCTTCGCTTCGTCGTATCCGTAAGATTTGCCATCGAATGTCAGCGTTTTATACCGAAGTTTGAAGGACGTGGTCCTTGATTTACCGTATTCTATTAGTTTTTTTCTTATGTTGCGCGTTGTTTGACAAAAATCTTCGCTCATTGCTATGTCAGTGCTCTTTAGCAAACCTCGTTTTGAAAAAACCAGCTCTCTCTTTTTAAATGTTTCAAATTTCGTTATAAGTGGTCGAGCTTTCGCTGAATCATAGCGTCCTATTCTGTGAGCGCGGCATATATCAGAACTTGTGACATCAATTTGGATAGTATTAGTCAGGAGGTTGATGATCTTTTTTTCCGATTCCGAAGAAGTTTCATCTGCGGCATCTGGAATTCCATAAAAGACAAGATTGTTTCTCCGCGATCGATCCTCTGCGTCATCAAGACGCGAATGCATATTACTAGTGTCTTTTTCAAGGCGCTCAACAGTGGTGCGTAGTTCTTTCATTTCATGCTGCCAGTGCTCGAAAACGGAGGTTTGGTTTTCAACTTTCGCCAGTCTGTCCTTTATTTCGTTCATTGATTCTGAAACTGACTGTTGTTGTTCTTTTAACACAGATACGGTGTCCAATATTGTTGTTTGCGCTGATTCCATTCTTTTTGTACGTTCGTTCAAATCCTTCATCGTTTTCACTAGTTCTGCTAAGTTGTCAGGACCTGGGTTGCTTTCTACATCCCCACAAAGAAGTAGTAGCAAAGAACAAAAAGGCAAGAGAACGGCTTGTGGGCACGGAAGCACAACAATAAAGGGTTCATCAGATCGGAAGCTACGACAAGGCAGTTTAGAAAGGTAACTAACCTGCAAGACGAAAAGACAGGTGCGTAAGCCTTTGGCTGTTCTTTCCATCGCGCTTCCGTGCCCACTGCAGTGATAGTGCTCGATGCTGGGTCTTATCCTATCCGGACGAGATGACGTTGATGTCGCAGCTGCGCACTGGTGGTGCTGCAGGTGGCGCTCGACGATGTTGGTCAGGTCCCAGCAAGCTGTTTCTGGCAGGTCTGGTGAAGGGGCAACAGCACAGATTCCGTCCGATAATGGAAGATCCGGGGAAGGGGCGGCTTCACGAATTCCGTCCGAGAGCGCGAAGCTTTCCCGTAGACCCGCCACTGGTACGCCGGCCGCGAAAACAGCGACGTACTGCAAGACGAAAAGACAGGTGCGTAAGCCTTTGGCTGTTCTTTCCATCGCGCTTCCGTGCCCACTGCAGTGATAGTGCTCGATGCTGGGTCTTATCCTATCCGGACGAGATGACGTTGATGTCGCAGCTGCGCACTGGTGGTGCTGCAGGTGGCGCTCGACGATGTTGGTCAGGTCCCAGCAAGCTGTTTCTGGCAGGTCTGGTGAAGGGGCAACAGCACAGATTCCGTCCGATAATGGAAGATCCGGGGAAGGGGCGGCTTCACGAATTCCGTCCGAGAGCGCGAAGCTTTCCCGTAGACCAGCCACTGGTACGCCGGCCGCGAAAACAGCGACGTACTGCAAGACGAAAAGACAGGTGCGTAAGCCTTTGGCTGTTCTTTCCATCGCGCTTCCGTGATCTGTTTCTACACCATGTTGGTCAGTGACTAGTCTGCCTAGCAGGGCAAAATCCTGCGCTTAAATCCCCCTCGTGTCTCCTCGCTCTCTTCCTTGGGGACAAGAGACCTCTACATGGGTCCAATCATGCGCGTTTAATTGATGGAAACTCCTCCCCAAAAATATATTGACCCCACCCCTTTTTAATTGGGAGAGGGCCCTGAACTAGCGAGAGTGACAGCCTGTTGGGGTGTTGTCATACGGCTTGGCCACCAGAGGTTTTCCCACGCTTTTCCCCGTGGGAACGGTCGGACTGTTTGGCTCTCAGCCGGTGCGTCCCGTAGTCTAATCCTTGTTCGGGGTACCTCGCGGCCTTCCACGACCTTGCAGACGCCGCCGCAGTTATAAAGGATCAAACGTCGGCGGCGACGTTCGAAGAAGAGCACCCCATTCTGAACTCGGCTCTCTTTCATGCGCCCGCCGTTCCCACGGTCAGTGGGGAAGTACGGCGCCCGTTAATTGCCGTTACGCGGGGTCACCAAAAATGGCCGTCCGTGACACTTAGCCACTAGACCACCGCGGCGGGGCTCATCTACGCTTCTCTCTGCCATGTTGGCCTCACTTTGTCTCCCTGTCCTCGCGTTTCGCTGTCGCTTCTCAGACTCGTACAGAAGATTTGGCGCTTCTGCGACGCTGGTGTTTGCGGGCAAGCAAGCACCCACGAGCCAAACGTGCGTTTGCTAGGCTTTTGTGCATCAAACGCGGGACCCGCGCCACTATAACGTGAGACATGAAACGACAACATGGCGATCCCTTAAAAGGATTCACGATTCGGGAGTAACGTGGCATTTCTTGAGTTATCTCCAAGAACTGACTCAAAAGTAACAAGAGCTTCCAGGAGGGTGCGGTGCTCGGCGAACCAGGCCCATCAAGCCTGGCAAACCTTTAATAATAAATCCAGTTTGGTTTAAGGTTTATATTTATGCTTAGACCATAGAAGTCCGTATACCATGCTTTAAAACATTTGAAGAAATATTAAGTATGGTGCAGGTAACATGCGCCGTGAACTGTGACGTGTTGCTTCGTGGCATGACGATAGTTAGAGCGCGAGAACATAACGACGACAAAGAGACAAGAAGGCTCTGTTCGTTGTTGTGTTCGTTCTTCTGTTCTCGCGCTACAACTATCGTCATGACATACCAACTAGCCCAAACTGCCACGCTTCGTGGCAGTTCGACGTTTCCTGGCTGGGGTGTCTCACGGCTCAGCCGGGCGATGCAGCATGTGAAATTCTCTTTTTCGAACGGGCTACATTCGGTGAACTATTTGAATTCGCTTTGTTTCGAATACTTCAGAATGTCGGAGGACTTCAAATTTGCGTTGACGTGATTAGTACAATCATTGCTATATTAGGTCAAACTTTCATCCGAATATTCGCACGAACGTTCATTCGGGAATCGCTCGATTAATCACGTTCATATTCGTTCAAATATCATACAGTCCTCACAACCACACGTTAAAATTCATCACTGACGTCTCCCCATAGCTATAATTTGCGCAATCGATCTGCCGTGTCTTTCTTTTTTTTATTTTACTGGCACAGCCATGATAACCGCATAACTATCCGAACTCAGACCAAGCCTCAAACTGCGCGTTCCGTTCAATCGTAATAAAAAAAGAGGTTCCGCAAATCATCCCTACATTGTACGATCGGACGAACTTCACCAAGAGCAGCGAAATCACTGACGAGTGCCGCTCCATTAATCACAGGAATGATAATAAACGATCAAACTTATAAATTCTGTGCACATTCGTTTCGAGACCGAATACACTGTATGCACTGTGTTTCATGCCCTCTAAATAGTAAAAAGAACCTGTTATGAGGTACAGCTCGACATACACGGTGACCCCTAATTCTGACTTCCATGTGCCGTAAAATAAGAACGGAAGGAACGCGTACGCTACTTAGAAGAGCACTCTGCGCTATGTCAAAAGAGCTTCAGATCAATATGTACCTTCAGTCAATTTATATAGTGGTAATTGTGTGTGTGTGTGTGTGTGTGTGTGTGTGTGTGTGTGTGTGTGTGTGTGTGTGTGTGTGTGTGTGTGTGTGTGTGTGTGTGTGTGTGTGTGTGTGTGTGTGTGTGTGTGTGTGTGCCAGTGCGTGCGTGCGTGCGCGCGTGGACACAATACATGTTGAGGAAGAGACGATTAGACTTCATCGGTCTTCAGTCTGCAAGTACGGCGAGTGTTCAGCGTTATTCGTGGGGCGTGGGAGGAGGCCGGAGATAAAAGGCTATGAAAGTGTGTGTGTAGTCGATTGATCATACGAAAGAAAGAAAAAAAATCGATCGATTTGCTCGCCGAAGCGTGTCATGCACTCCCGTGAGCGCCGACGATTGACCACTGGCCGTCGTTCGATGTCGGCCTCAACGACTATTTGTCTGGCGCGCATCGCAGATGCGCTTCTTTGGTTCCGAAAGTGGCGTACTACGCCTCGTTGTAAGTACGCACGCGCAGACACCAGTTCGCACGAGTACACATTGACGTACGGAGATGCACACACACACAACAAAAGCACACATCCGTAAGGACACAAATGACAAACGTGGGCACTAAATGGACAGACAGAGAGGGCGACAGAGACGAATAAGGCATCCTGCGGTGCCCTTGGCTATTTATAAAAGCAGTGCACGGTTTGAGCGTGCCAGAGGTATCTAAGGTTAGTCGCCGGGAAGCGCCGATCAATATGGTGGACTTCGAGTAACGACGTACTGTATCGTATCGCCAGTCATCTCCTGGTAAACACAAAAAGAAAAAAAGAAGCGTTATCATTTCGGAGTGAACTTTACACGGAGTGATATGAATTTGCTGGCAGATACGCATAGCGGGGGCGGGTTTTTTTTTATCGTATTAGTTCTAGTCTTGTGATATCGATTATGTGGACGCAGGAGAACTGTTTTTTTTTTCTGTTGCCGTTGGTGTCACTGTCGTGTTTCGTATGAAGTCCCGATCTGTAAGAGAGTGGGAGCTCACTCGGGATGCCGACTCGTGCGCGAGTCGATTGATTGATTGGTATGTGGGGTTTAACGTCCCAAAGCCACCATACGATTATGAGAGACGCCGTAGTGGAGGGCTCCGGAAATTTCGACCACCTGGGGTTCTTTAACGTTCACCCAAAGCTGAGCACACGGGCCTACAACATTTTCGCCTCCATTGGAAATGCAGCCGCCGCAGCCGGGATTTGATCCCGCGACCTGCGGGTCAGTAGCCGAGTACCTTAGCCACTAGAGTGCGTGAGTCGAACAGAGATACACCGCGCCGGCTGGCTCCATTTGTCGAAAGAGCACGACAGTCATTGAAGCATGAAGGAGTCTTTAGAACGAACCATGGAGGAACATTAATGTTGCGTCACTCCGACAGCAGCTTTGAACGTTTTTTTATCAAATCGGCGTGACCACGCGCTATGTCCACAGACATCTGTAGACAGCTCGTTACGCTTGCATGCTATGGGCTCTCACCACTAACTTCGAGTTGAGGCGACAGCTGGTTGGATGGAAATTGAATATGACTGTTGCATTAAAATGACCGCGAAATATAGGCAGTAACCAAATAAAACAAAACTGGGTAGGAGCGAAGTATGCACGGTTTTGAGGAAGCTTTCTCTGATTAGGGACTACACTGGGGCCCTGCTTCAAGCTGGGCATGCTGGGAAGGTTGATCCCGCTCCGCTAACATCGTCCGAAAATTGCGTTGCAATGGAACTTACAGTAAATGGCTCCTTCGCTCTCGGTTTTGCCACTTGTATACCAACGTATCTTCTACTGCTTCACATTTATTTTCGCGCAGTTGTAGCCAGGCTTTGTCCGTGGCCTGGATAGCAATCAAAGGCCACAAGAGTTATCTAAGATACACTTGGAAACCATTCTAGCACATTTCATGGCCAACAAGGCCAGAGGGTGATAAAAACAGCGTTCTGTGCTGATCCTATTTAATTCCGTATATTTCGCCCGTGATGTAAGAGTTCACCCACTGCCTTCTGCGCCCACGGCTGCATGTGGTTAATTAGGCGCAGAACCACTAACCGGGAACTATACAAGAGCTAAGTTTCACGTAACGCAGCATGCCAGAGAACTTTCGCCAAGTGGTGCATCGGTGTGGACCATCGATACTTGTTTCAAACAACTACACAATCTCCTCCGCACACCACTCAGTCGAGATATTGACTTCCGACGTAACAGTGTCACACGTAGGCAAAAGAGAGAGAGAGAGAGAAAGAGAGAAAATATCGACCACGTAAATCTCAGAACCGAGTCGGTATACCTCTCTTCTCCGTGCCTTGAGTTCGTTTGTACTCTTCGCGGTTTCATTACGCCGAAAACCACTTACACACCTCTCCGCCCCAGCTTTTCAGAACTTCAGAACACTTTGTTAATATGTAACGCCGTTCCAGCATCGCGCGAGTGGAGCTGCTAGCAGGAAGTTTCTGACTGGTTGAAAACATGTCGAGCGGTGTAGCCAGACAAGCTTCTGTACTCACGGGTCACAAGTGAAGCAATGTATCAGCTTTATTAAAAACGTCCCGCAAGTGACGTCGAGATAAAAGAGTCTGTAATGTTTTGATGTTTTTTTTATTTTATTCAAAGCCTGTCAGATGTTTGATGCCCGAACAAAAAGCCTGAAGAGGCTTCTTGTCCCCCTTCCCCCTACCTAAACACACGCGCGGAGGGCTGTGTATGTTATTGTGGCTGTTTTCTATACGCCCTCATATATGTTTAGGTGTTAGCACTTCGTATCATATATGTTTTTGAATGTCACGTCTTCTTTTTGACATACATAGACATGCGCTGCATGAATCTATGAGAGGTAGGAACGCTTGCATTTAGTACCAGTTTATGTCTCGAGAGTTCGGATATCCGCGTCGTGTCTGCAACTGTCTGTGGTCTACCTCGAACGTAGACGTCAACCTTTAAGAGCAGTGTAGGAGAAATATGAAGAATCAACGTAGC